AGATTTGTTCCTGAACTCTGATCTCTGTGCACAGGGCAACCACATTTCTCTGACAGACAGGACCAGTATGCAATGGCTGTTTTAACCATTACTTCTGTGGAAGGGCTCCCAGGGGATCTCCAGCTATTCTTGGCTTGGACCTTCAAGCTGCTCAAAATTAGCACAGAACAGTCCTATGAGTGCTTACTTAACACTTCTTTATAATGCTCTATTTCCAAAGATCCAGACTTAATACCAATCCTGGAGTAATCAGCGTTACCAGTGTCTTCTGAAACAACACTACAGGTCCTCACGCAGGTCTGGGCAATTCATACGTCATATCTACTGCAGGCTGGGTTAAAGGACTCCCTCCCATCCAGTCCAGCGTATTGACCCGCAAGTCACTAAGGCAGTGGAAGGAGACTTAGTCAAAGTTTATTGAGCTCTCTGGATCAGCACCACCAGAGACCACCACCATAATCAGATCTGAAAACTTCTTCAAAAGCAACTAATCCTACAATATTGTATACATTGAAATATCACTTGCCCCATAAATATGTGCAATTTTTATATGTAAGCCAAAAATTTTAAAAATGTTTAAAGAGCTGGAAATATTAATTATCCTGATGGATCATTCCACACTGAATATAGGTATTGAGTTATCACATCATTGTATAATTAACAAAACAGTTAAAATAATAAAACAGAACTGATTAGCTGGTTCTCCCCTACACTCTCGACTCTTTTCTCCTCCGATTCCATCATATTCTATGATCCCGTGTTTCTCGAGGATGCAGGGATATTTTTCAGTAGTGACAAAGAGCAAAGTAATGGTTTCTATGTTAAATGATGATCGGAAAATAAAACATATTTCCAGAACCCAAAATGGTTATAAAATTATTAATCTTAAATGCCGTTAAAGTTAACTCCAAAATGATTGTACTGAAAGCATTATTAAACAATTATAAATACAAAATACTTTCATCATTTATTCCTATAGGGGAACCCTTTAGAGGGAAATACACTTTAATCTATATCACCACATATAATATTTTTTGAAACACAATTATAATAAAAGAAAAAATATTTAAATAAAAATTTAGGAACTACTTTCGCTACATTCTAGTGATTTTCTTTTCTTTTCTTTTTGATATTAGGTATTGAACCCAGATCCACTTAATCATTGACTCACATCCCAACCCTTTTTATTTATTTTTTTTTCTTTTGAGACATGGTCTCTCTAAATTGCTTAGGACCTCACTAAGCTGCTGAAGCTGGCCTCAAACTTGCGATCCTTGTACCCCAGTCTCTCTAACTGCTGGAATTACAAGTACATGCTACCGTGTCAGGCATATAATAATGTTTTTCTACTACTTTTTGTACCAGTAGAATTTATTTTTTTAAGCAACAATTTGCAGAAGGAAGTTTTATCTAGGAAATAACTATCTCTTATTGAGAAATAAAAGTTGCCAGATGGTGTCCTTGTTTGTAAAATATTTTATTTTGAAAGGACTGAAATGACAAACGTTAGGCATTTGAGCCGATTTGGTAAATTAATAGAGACACTTGCTACCATGAAATAGAGGCATTTAAATATTAGGATTAAATAGGACATTGAGAAATAACTCCAAAGTATAAAGATAAATCGTTTCTTTCCTAACCAACAGTTCCTTGTCTGTAGTGTTCCATATTTCAAATATTAGAAATCCACAAAGCTATTAATTTTCCTTGTACATGAATTTCAAGATGTGCCATGTTAAGAATGAAGGAACACTGGGGATATAGCTCATTTGGTAGAGTGCTTGCTTCACGTGTTCAATCCCCAGCACCACACACACACACACACACACACACACAAAGAAGCAGCTTGGGCACTGCAGGAAACGCACATGGGTTACTTATGTGCTTTCAATTCCCTAGCCACACCAGGTGTCTCAGACCCTAATGTTCATCCCCAGAGAGACGATAACCAGACTTAAAAAAAAGTCAAAAGGAAGAATTTAATAAGTGTCCTTTTATAGCTCAGTATGTTCGTTTCACAACATTGACGTATTATTGCATTGTGGTCAAGTTTCCTCTATATATGGTCACTTTGCTAATAAAAGGACATTTTTAAAATCATATTTTTAAAGAATGTTTATTGAATGTTGACATGTGTGCCATAAAAATAACTGTTAGAAGGTCTGTGAAAATATTTCAGCATGTTGTGGAGTGGCAGTGATGATTCGTTTAGCACAATGTGACTATTATGATATGAACAGTCATCATTGACCTGAGCTCAACCAGCCTAAATTTTTAACAGAATCAACAATTATTACGCTAATTTGGCCAAGATGTTATGATTACTTGAAATTTCAGTCAATAAACACAAACCAATTGCTCATAAACATAAACTTTTCTTGCTCTTTCTATTATACAGTGACTGATTTAGAACTGATGACAATTTTTAAAGAATTTTATTTATGTTCCTATTACTTTATACAAAATCACACACTAGCCTTGAGTTTTTATACTTTTCATTGATGTGATACATTTTTAAGTTAGCGGGCACTTCAGTAATATTTTTATTTCACTGAGAAATATCAATGTGCATATCTAAACAATTTATCATGAATCACCAGAGTGTGCCCTATATTTTATTATATATTTTCCATATCTTAATAACCCTCTAGACTATATATTTGCTAAAAATTTTAGAAAATTATTTTTTATTAATGCTAATGTTTGTCAAATTACGTTTATGGCTTTAACGTCCCTGAGTGTGAAATTGATGATAGATTATTTTTAAGACACATCTAGATCAAAATCATAAATATGACATAGTAATTTAAAGAATTAAGAGAAAACTATAATGCACACTAAATGCATTTCAGTAATGGGTTCTATCCAAATAAGACAAATTTAAAATCTACGAGAGATAAATATTTTGGACAATTGAAAGGAAGAGAACTAGAATTATCCCAGCCTCTTCTTCCACACTTTATTTTTAACATCAGAACACTTCACTGCAGCTATGTATGACCATCTGTCTCTCCCACAGGGTGGGTGTAAAGCTGTATTTTGTAGCCTATAAAAAGGGCATGCTGAAGTAACTGACACATGACAGGTGTTCAATATGTGGTTGACACTGTGATTACTGTCTATAGTAATAGATGTCCATGAATTTAGAGAGTGGAGTCTACTACTAATGTCCTAGCACTGAGAGCAGAAATTAATGGTAACATGAAAAGAGGACAAAAATCAGTTGCTGAGAAAACTGAAAAAGTTTTGACTTATATTTTAGTTATATTCCAATTTTTTTCTGAACATTTACAAGCTAAAATTCTATCACTTGACCCACTATTATAAGTGGAATAACTAATAAATCAATGAATCAATAAACATTTATCTGTCATTCTGTTGCCTTTCACCACTACTAACTTCCTTATAAATATCTGAAACTTAAATTCAAACCTAACCTGTTTTTTCCCATTATATAACAATGCTTATTGTTTTCATTATATAACCTAGTTCATTATGTAAGTTAAAGGTTTCTTTTAATACATTATTTAAGTATTTTCATTGCCACATAGAAAAAACTTTAACTACAAGCTGATAATAAAATTTGGTTCATGTGTGTTTGCATTTTCATTAGTTAAAAGAAATGCTATAGTGTGGCATTTAAGAAAGTTGTTTGCTGTTACTTAAATTTTTTTTCAGAGGTATGACTTTCATACCTCTACTTAATTAGCATCCCCAAATGCTCTAACAATCAGTCTATGCCTCACATTTCTTTCATGGATCTAGTACCCTTTCTTAATTAGTCTTGCACCCGAATCAGTACTCTCGGTAATGATCTGATAGAGTTGTGTTTATTTTGACAATAAGAGACTATCAACTGATGAAATGTTGAAGTATCTGAAATAATGTGCTACTGGAATAGTAAGGTGATATTTCCATTGTGTTAAACTCACAGAAACGAGAGTAAAACTTAGCAACCAGTAGTGTCCTAGAAAAAAAACTTCCCACAAAGCCCAGTGTACACAACTAATATATGAATAAAATGTTTTAGTGTAGTCTGGATTTTAGTGGATATAGTTTAGGGGGATGACAGATTATGGAGTCTTTTGTAGTCTGTACAGTTTTGGAAATTATGTCAATAGAATATATTTAACTCATAGGCTCTTGTAATATCCTTCGGCCCCCAGGAAATGGCTTGCCTCACCTGACCATGCGCTGTGAGTTCGCTCTGCCCTAGCCTTCCATTCCAGCTGGACGGGTTAGACATGGACTGCTTCATCACAGCACAGGCCTTACAGCTAGTTCTATTCTAAGACAGAGAGCAGCCCGAGAAAGCCAGCAGAAAAGGCCTTCCGAAGGCTTACCTGAAGAGACACATTTCTTAGAGTGGAACCAAGTATTGCCTAAATCTTCAAAGGAAAGAAGGTTCCGTCTAAATTCTGGAAGAATAAGAAATGCATTCGTTCAGTTCTAATGAACTGCGTTGGTAGACTTGGGGTTCATCTCTGATCAGCCTATCAGAAAAGACATTATTATGTAAGCCAAAGACCAATATTTAAAAAAAAATCAGGTTATAAAGTGCCATTTAAAGACTGTACTGCCTTTGTTTAAGGGTGGTATGGACTATCAGCCAGTAGTCCGTGCAAACCTTGTGTAGAACCGAAGACAATCTGACTGCAGCGACTATCATCTTGGCAGAGTCTGTCAGTGGTAAAGATCTGAAAAATGAAAATGCTGCCCCCCTCACTTTTTATCTTTTTTGGTCGCAAGCAAAGATATTGAAGGATACTGGAAAGAATTCTACATATTGTTTTTGTGTTTTTGCAGAGGCAAGCACTGCATTTAGGGGAGAACTGAGACTATCCGCAATCCCCATCCTTGTCCCTAGGTCTCCCCCAAGGTTCTGCCTGAGTCCGCTTGTCCGCAGCCTGCGGCAGGGAGGCACCAGCACCCATAGGTGGCGCCCCGCGTCCGTGCCTGTGCGTCTCGCCCTTGCTGCAGGCGCAACTGGGAAACCCGGCGCGTCTACCCAGGTCGTTAGAGCTTAGAGCCGATGTTTTAATAAATCAGCGCGGTGCCAAAGCGCTCCAGGAGCCCCGAGGTTCAGAGGAGCGGACACATAAACCTAGGCGGGAGGCATTTCTTCAATCCTTGCCAAAACCTGACGTTTCCCAAACTGGAGATTCTGGAACCATGGCCCTTAAACCTTTAAATTCAAAAGCTTCCTAGCTCCATACCAGTCTTTTTTTTTTTTTTTTTTTTAACTGTTTTTTTTTTTTTTGTCCTCTTAATTATGAAAGTGATCACGCTATTCAAGATTAAGAGTTGGAAAGAATTTGGAAAAGGAAAGAAAGAATCTAAAAGAAGAGACGCCACTGGTGCTTTTGAAGGTGCCTAATTTTTAAAAAGGCATCTAAGAGGATTTCGCTCTGGGTGTTTGGGTGAGAGCTGGACCAGGGTGCTGAGTGCGGGGTGGGGATGCGGGCGGCGGGAAGGCACACCGAGCCCCGGACGACTGCTATGCACACAGGCCTTAGGGCGTTGGCAACGCTGGGCTTTGCCCTCCGGAGTCTGGAGGAAAGGCCAGGGCCAAGAGGTCCCGCCAGCGATGCGCGCTGTGGGCGCGCTGGGCGCAGCAGCTGAGGAGCCCCAGGCAGCGGGCTTCGCGTGGTGCGGCTGAGGACTCGGTGCGGCTCAGTGCCGGGCGCGAAGCGTAGGGGTTAGAGGCACCGGGCGAACGCAGAGTGGGGCGCGGCGCGGTGCGGCCGCGGGGCGCGCGGGCGCGGGGCGTGGTGTGTACCGGGAGCCCGCGCGGGCCGGCGCGGGAAAGCGGCAGGGCGGGGCGGCGCGGTTATTGGCCACGCGCTGGGAGAAAGGGTCGCGCTCCGAGTCCTCCTCCCGCCAGCTACCGCTCGCCTCATTTTCTCTAAGCAGAACAACTTCGCGGACAGCTGTACTCGCCCATCATGGATGTTCCAGGTAACCAAATCCCGGCCCTACCCCGCCAGGAGCCTCGAATTAACTGCCCTCTTGCATGCATTTTCATGAGGACCATCACAAGTCTATGTTCTAGAGAGAGAGAGAGAGAGAGAGAGAGAGAGAGAGAGAGGAGGGTGAGGGAAGAATATCGCAATCATCTTGCATGGGGACTGAGGACAGAGAATATTTATCGAGAATAAACTTCTCTTGTTCTTAGAAAGAACACTGGAAGAGTTGTTCGGATGCTGAGAGCTGTGAGGAGGCAGGCGTCTTTGCGTTTTGCTTCTTGGCTGGGTATGGGAATGACCTGTCTGGTTTAATGAAAGAGGGGACGGGGTGAAAGTGTCAAAAGGCATATAAGTTAGCAGAAATTTACAGGCGAAGAGCGGACGCGGGGTTCAGAAACAAGGGCTGGAAAATCAGCAAAGCCTGGGATTCCTGTTGGTGGAATCCTCAGCTCTTTGCAGGAGAAGAATCCAAGAGGTGGACCCAAGGGGGGCTCATCAGTAGCCCTGGGATCCTTGGCAGTGGGTCTTGGCTTTAGTCTCCCCCGCACCTGTCTTTCTCCTCTCTCCTTTTTGTCTCCTCTTAATCCCATTCACCCTAAGGAGATTCTCGGGGTTTGTTCTTTGGGTAGAAAATTGAATTATTATTATTTTTTAAAACGAGCTGTCACAAGACACCTTCTTACGGAAAAATAGAGGGTTAAAGGAAAGGCAGGGAAAGGAGTTTTTTTTTTTTTTTTGGTTTGACTTTCAAGAAAATGCCGCTGAAATGAAGACGGTAAATCAGTTTCTTTTTCTCTATCCGCTTCTTAAACCCCCTCTTCCTTTAGCTGAGTGGGCAGGGGGCGGCGCTGACGCCCTCTCCAGGGTCTGGGACTCTGTCTTAGCAATGAGGTTCTGCAGCATCGCGGGTCCTTGACCTCACGCACCCCTGCGCGAGCCACGCAGGAGCCTTCACCGACGCGCAGCACCGCGCGCTCAGGCTTTCTCCGAACCTGTTGGGCCAAGTCGGGGATGGGGGTAGTTGTGCTCAGACCAGGGGGACGGCCTTCCGGAAGGGAGCCCAAGAGCCGCTGGCACCTGCTCCCCTCCGCCCCTCCCCCTAGCTTTGCCTCCCTACCTAAGGGTTTGGGTTCTTTGCCCTGACAGGTCCGCTGGCACCCTCCTTCTGAGAACTCCCTTGGCCTTGACCGGGAAAGCAGGGAACCGAGGCCAGAGAAGGCTACTTCTGTCCCGGAGCGATCCTGCGCGCTTCCTGGCGCTCTTCCAGCCCACGCCTGCCTCTGCCTTGCGCGCCGCCCCCCAGCCCAGATGCCGGCGCCCGGTCGGGGCCCCCGCGGGCCGCGGCTGACCATGCCCGGGCGCCGGGGGGCGCTGCGCGAGCCGGCCGACTGTGGCTCCTGCCTGGGGGCGGCGTTGGCCTTGCTGCTGCTGCTGCTGCCAGCCTGCTGCCCGGTGCGGGCGCAGAATGACACGGAGCCCATCGTACTCGAGGGCAAGTGCCTGGTGGTGTGCGACTCGAGCCCGTCGGCGGATGGCGCGGTCACCTCCTCCCTGGGCATCTCCGTGCGCTCCGGCAGCGCCAAGGTGGCCTTCTCTGCCACACGGAGTACCAACCACGAGCCGTCGGAGATGAGCAACCGCACCATGACCATCTACTTCGACCAGGTCAGCCGGCTCGCTCGCCCACCCGCCGCCGGGGAGGAGAAGGCGGGGCAGGGGGCCAGAGCTGAGGTTCCCCTTTCTCCGACCTGGAGTTCCCAGGAGCTCCCTCCCCTCTGCTCTGCCCTACCTTTTGGCTCACTGTTCTCTTTCTTTTCACTCCTTTTCCACGTTGCAGCATTCGTATTCTTAAATTACCAGTTTACTGAGCACTTGGATTACTGAGAATCCCTTAAAGATATCTAAGATAAAGGTCCTGTAAAACTGATATTTGAAATATATTTCCCAAAAGGAAACGTTGCCAGTTTTACTTTTTGCTGAGGGTGGGTGGCTGGGGGCGGTGGAGCGTTTTGTGGTTGATGATCTTCAGGCAGTCAGGTGCCAACCTAAGGGCTGAGTGCATTCCAAACTCCCCCATTCAGAAAAGGAATACTCCAAAAGCCTAGCCCAGATCACAGAAGAGATGTTTATTTTAGAAGATGGAGTAGGGAAAAAAATAAGTGAGGAAGGTTGTAGGGGAAAGAGCAGGGATCATTATATAAATATAAAACAAAATAACATGGCTATATAAAAACAAGGTATAGAAAATGAAACATACAGTATGCAAATGCACTGTACACAATATGTCAATATGTAATTTAGCTGTATAAATAAGAACAAAGAGCAATGACTTACTTTGCTGCAAGTCACTTAACTTCTGTCACTGGGTTCCAAGCAATCAAGACTCAGACATGGTCAAGCCTTTGCAATTCTTTCTCTGGGTGATTGGTGTTAAGGGTTAAAGGTTGTGACCATCCTTTTGTGTCCTTCCGGGGTTGATTCCTATTCTTTTTCAGAAACAAATTAAAGAGCCTTTTAGTGTTTTTCAAACTTTACCTCATCAGCTAATCCTTTTGCCCAAGCACTTCCCACACAACGGAGCACTGGGCCATCCCTGAGCATACCTGTGCTTCCTGAACACTTTCTGGTGGCTTTATTGTCTCCACCAGTCAGCTCCAGAACCTAAGCAATAGCAGGCACACACACACCTGGCCTCTTTTTAGGCCAGTGTATTCATTTTGTAAATCTTATTAAGGATCTTCTGTTTGAAGGGGTGTATTGCCGGGGGAGGGGGGATTTTTCTTTTATGTTTTTATTTATTTAAGATATAAAAATATTTTACTCATTTCCAAATCTTGGAGATAACAATGAAAGAGCATTCGGGAACCGTGTGCTCTATTAATAAGTTGTTCTCTATGTGCTATTATTTTGTAACTATTTTTCATTTCCCAATGTCTTACCAATAGCTTCTACGGCATTTCCACATCCACCATTTCTTTGGGGTGTCAAGAACATGGTGATGAAGGGCAGGATCAGTAGTAATAGAATTCTAATTTACAGATAAGGAAACTGAGCAGGGCTAGGTCTTAACTGAGGTCCACTTTTCAGGGCCAGGATGGGTGTCCTTTCATCTGCACCAACGCTGTGAATTTGCCAGTTTTCTAAATTCAGAACTGAGGCAAAGGAGTGCCTGTGAAGGGAAGGAGCAACCCTCAGGGCCCAAGTGGGGCATTCTTTATTCTCCTTTAAAGCATTGTGAGGAAGATGGAGAGCAGGGGCCCTGGAGGGCTTCCTCTTCAACAGTGGGGCCCAGGTGGGCTGAGGGGAGGGTCCAGGACGCTGGGGAGTTCCTCAAGCTACCTTGGCTTCAGGGTCTCAGCTGTTCAATTACAATGAGTGTGTAAGAAGTAACCACCAGAGTTACTCAGGCTGAGGCTTATTTTCTGATCAGATGATGAAATCTTGAATCTAGGGTGTTGTTGCTGTTGGCTTTTTGTTTTAGAAACCAAAGCGCCAGTGGTCCATTTAATTATTTTTACTGAATTATAATTTGTATATGAGGAGGGATGGGGGGCGGGATCTGGACAAAAATTGGCCAGATTCTGTCTAGAATGTCTGAAAGGGGGTTGGGTCATAACTGGGAACCTGCCATTCTACAAATTCTGCTATGATACTGTAACCCTCTGGTCCCCTCATGTTTGAGGAAAACCTTTGACAGGGTCATGTGATCTCCTGTCAGGTGGCAAATTCTCTCCTTTATTTTCTTGCATGTTGTAGAATTCTCTTAGTTTGAGCTGTGGGTGCCCAAGCTACCAGTTCAATTCTTTTTATTTATTGAAACTCATCTGCATGACACCATTGCTCAAGTAACAGGTAAAACAGGTTGCTCAGAGGAAAGTGAGGAGAAACAGGCAGCAGTCATTGTTTACTGACAAAACTCTTTCATTCAGTATGCATTACTGAGCACCTACTGTGTGATGCCAGGGGCTGGGAAATGGGGGGAGGGGGGGCATGTCTCAGAGACCATTTCTTTCCTGGGGGCAGGTGGAGTTAGGTCCTGGCTTCCTTTTATGGCACCGAATCTACCTCTTGCTCCATGGCCCTTTTCCCCACATCAGGTATGGAACTGTGTTTGTGAAACAGAGCTTCATGTTGAAGGTGTGGTAGGTAACCCACAGATCTCAGGAACAGACTTGAGCTACTGCTATTTACCAAGCTTAGTGTCTGTCTCCAGTTCCTTTCTCTCTGCCCTGACTCCAAGCATATCAAATTCACACTCATTTTCTGAATGCATGAATAAATCATAGCTGAAAAATCTTTAAAAATGATGACATATTAGAATAACTTTGAAATCGGTTCCTGCTGCAGGATGGTATAACTTCAGCTCTGCCCCCTTCCTGGGGAGGCCTGGCTGAGCCGAGCCAGCGTTGCCGGCTGCTGCATTAATGCAGGAACCGGTGTCAGTTGTTGTCTGAGCATCATTAAAACAGGCTGAGCAGCAGCTGGCTGTTAGTACTGTATCCCCTCTTCTTTTTCAGGTCTTAGTAAATATCGGCAACCATTTTGATCTTGCCTCCAGTATATTTGTAGCTCCGCGAAAAGGGATCTATAGCTTCAGTTTCCATGTGGTCAAAGTGTACAACAGGCAAACCATCCAGGTGGGTAGCTTTCATGGGGGGCCCGTGCAGTGTGGTGAATGATTTCTCACTGCTGAAGGCCCATTCCTTGGCTCTGTGAGGCTGAGGAACTAAGGAACGGGGCTCTCCAGAGATGCTTGGCCCTGCTCACTGGGGATCCTCTCCATCAGGCCCCTGGTGTGGGCTCTAAGGATGGGGGTGGGGAAGAAAACAGCAGGTGGGAGTGGGATTCCTTATGGTCTGCTGAGCTTTCCCCTCTGCATTTTAGGTCAGTTTAATGCAGAATGGCTACCCAGTGATCTCAGCGTTTGCAGGAGACCAGGATGTGACCAGAGAAGCAGCCAGCAATGGAGTCCTACTGCTCATGGAAAGGGAGGACAAAGTGCACCTTAAACTGGAGAGGGGCAACCTTATGGGGGGCTGGAAGTACTCCACCTTCTCGGGCTTCTTGGTTTTTCCTCTATAGACTCAGCCCCCGCCCCCATGATGGGGAAGTTGCAATCTGGACGCGGGAATCCCCCCTTCATAACACCCTCAACTTGCCAGAATAGGACAACACATTTCCAGCCTCTGTCAGACTGTTGCGGTCCAAGAATGATTTCCTCCTAAATCTCCAGTATTTTCTTTGAATATTGACAATTCCTCGGGAACCTGGCCTCTAATTAGTTTTAGACGACAAGGTCTTAAGGAGAAATGAAATTATCGATTTGAGCAGTTTGTACCTGTGATTGTAAAGTCGATATCGGATTCTATTGTTGGGACCATTGACTTACCTTCTTTTGTTTGTACATTGTGTCATTGTCCCGGTGGCAGGAGCACTGCTGTGGACCCCAGGATGGACTGCAGGTTGCAGTCGAGGTTCAAAGCAAGAGCCTGGCAAAGAACTACCCGTGGGACAGTCCTTGACCTGTGTCCCCTGTGTGTTTGTAGAGCCTTAGGAGGAAGAATGGCTTCACCCTCATTCTGTACTTGTCCCCTGGGTGGATGGGAGGGGGCGGGGCATTGTGAACCTGTCAGGAAGTGCTTTATCCAGAGGAGCCAAGTGTGCAAGACTGGACTGAGTGCGGTTTTGTTTTGTATTGTTTGTGTTTTCTTGAGAAGCTTTATTTTCTTTGCACACAGGGCCCTCCTCCATCCTTACCCCACTTTTAACTTCTTCACTGGGGTTGGGGTGGAGGGAGAAAATGTATGCTGAATTCATGGATGAGATAAAACAAAACAAAACAAAACAAAACCTGAATATTTTGTTTTGAATGAGACCACACCAAACCAAAAGTGTCTGTCTATCAGAGTAACAATAGCAAATGGACAAGTCTGCTTTTTCTTCCTGAGAGAGTCTCTCAGATGCATCTTTAGAACTCGCAACCTGGATTTTATTTATTTATTTATTTTTATTTATACTTGGAATCCTTTAAGAACCTGGCATTGCTGGGTGGGCCTGAACTGTGCTGCTTGTGTCACTGTCGTGACCAGATCCCCTCGGCCCTGTTTTCCTGGAGTGCTTTACCTTGTTTGGATCCACCTTGAGAGAGCACAGTGATCAGGTGCTACAAAGAAGACAGGATCAGCCCCTCTTCCTCGGGATCTTCTAAGGAAAGGTCTTGGTTGACACTGGGGCAGGCACCTGGCAGGAAGCCACTTGGAAGCCACAGCAACTAAAGGTATTGGTCAAAGCACCCGGGTGCGGTTTTACAAATGCTTCTTGTGCAACACTGTTATTAAGACACAGCTGAGAGATGATGGGTGCAGGGCTCCTATGCCAAGGAAGTGTCACTAATCCCAAAGCAATCAAATATGAGACCTCAAACAGGATGTTAATTTGTTCTTTGTGAAACAATGTAACCAAAATATTGATAGAACTCACCATTTAAGATTCAGAATAAATGGGTTTGATGTCTGGCTTGCTCTAATCCCTCTGCATCGTCTCCCAACTGTCAAAATAATTGGGGAAGTAAAGGCCAAGTGTCAAGGACTTGGGGACTTTAAATCCATAGGGTGCCTCTTTTAAAAGTACGCACACAAACACGCACCCATGTATGCAGATGCAGCTGTGGGTCTGGATGGATATTGCATACTTAAATACATTCAATTTTTACTTGCAGTGTTTTCGAACAGGAAGGGTTTGGGGAGAAACATAGAGGTGATAGCATTAAGAAGGTATTATGGTAGGCCATCCGCTGCCATCACACGATCTCGGAAGTGGTCCAAGAACCAATCCAACAGTGACAGCTAATTTAATAAAAGACAGCAACACTGGGAGTCACAGGAGTCCTTTCCAGACTGTGTGGGGATGGAAGGCCTTGGGTTTCCAGTGCACCCCGTTGGGATTACGCAAGGAGGTTTGACCAAGGGTCTAAGTTTTACTGTCCTTAAGTCAAGAACACAGTAAAACACAGAATTTGATTTGAGTTCAAAGTTTGTGAGGAAATAAATCAACCAAAAGTCTTGTAGAGTCCTTTGTTTCTGTGAGTAGGAGACTTACTTCCCGGAGTGGGCATTGTTTATTAATGCTGGGGACAGAAATAGAAGGCATCGAGCTGGAGTGTGCGCCCTTAGTTGTTCTCAGTTATTTGAATCCTGTTTCACTCATTTCCTTAACTTTGTGTTCAGTTTAAAACAAACAGGAAACCTCATTAGAGGACAATATGAGTACTTGTTACTTTTATCCCTTAACATATAAATACGTGTATTTGTTTGTATTGATAACCTTTATTACATGCTGATTGTTATTGGGTTATACTGTCTAATAAATAAGTTATTCAATTGACCTATCTAAAACTAAGTATATTTCAGGAGCTTATTTTATGTTAGTAAAACAGCTTCATCTTGCAGTTCCACCTCTTGCCACCCCTTCCCTTTTCTTTCTTGATGTGGGCAGTGACACTAGGAAGGCCCTGCTGGGAGCCTCTCTGAAGTTGTTCACCATCTACCCAGGCGTCTGCCCAGGCGGGATTTGGTTGAGAATCTTGAGAGAGATGAAGCTTCCAGTTATGGCCCACACATATATAGGTCAGATCTAAAGCTGACGTGCATTTTCCTTTTATTGGAAAAAAGAGGTGTGTAACATGCCACAGCAAGTCTTGGCAGCCTTGGCGTGGGGTCTGGGTTTTCTTGTCTGCAGAGTGAGATCATGGCCCTGTGTGGTCAGCCGCCCCGGGGAGCTGTTGTGAGGGGCCCCCAGAGGTGCTTTGAAAACAGGGCATTGGGGTAATGTGGGTGTTACTGGGGCAGAAGCATTACCAGAAAGACAGGTTTTTTCAACATGCAATTTGTGAAGATCATTTTTAATGAATATCTGACAGGAGGGCAATCGTACATGAAGGCAAATCTCCATGTTTCTCAGTGGACTATTAAAACTGCAGTGCTATATTGAGGGTTCCATTAGTTTGATTTTTAGGGATGATAATAATATCACAATGCATAAATTTTAATTTAATTCCACTCTCAGTTGTGATTTTTGGCTGTCCTGTGGGGTTCCTGTTCATCTTTATGTTACAATATGTACTGCCCATCTTTTAGAAAAATACACAAATGTAACATTTCTGATATGATTTAAAAAATATAACTTGATTAATATAGTTAGTATTATGGCATTTTAATATTAAGTTACTTTAGTTGACAAATGTTAGTTCTACTAAATTGTAAATGCCCTTAAGAGAAATACCATTTTCTTCACTTATATTCCAATTTGAAATACAGCCCCAGTGATTCAACACCAGGTCCTGGGAAACTGTTGTTAACATCTGTAATTCCTGAGCCGTTTTTGCACCCTAATATTTTTAATATATGTGTTTATGTGCAAGTGAAATGATCAACATTTCTACAATGTGTGCTTTCTAAGGCTGCTCAGAGCACATGTGATAAAAACTGACTTATCATTAGCATGAAAACTCATGGAACCCTGTAGAGATGACATAGATTTACTTGTTTAAAAAAGAATTAGCTAAATCTAGTTATATTGAAATTCAGAAAGAAAAATAGAATATACATACAAAGCAAAACAAAACCTTTGCTGAATATTTTATTTTACTTGTGGTATTGTTATTAAGGAAATTGCAGTGGGCATATGCATAGTAACTATTACATCGTACTGTTGAACTGTGAATACACTTACATACACACCTACCTGATCTGTTAACATGGTAATATAATAAAAAAATTACATGGATCGGCTACATTCTCCTGGAATCTGGAAGATGTAAGAGGAAAATTTGATGAATCACTTTCTACAAGCAAAACAAAAGCAGCGGCTGCTCCTTCCTGTGCTTCAGCTGTGCCAAAAGGAGCCAAGTCTGTTCTGTCAATTCCTGAGCCCACATTTTGCATCTTTTATAAAGGAACAAACGTTGTAAGAAGATAACATTGCTGTGAATAAAATGGTCAACGTTTGTTTATATTTCTATGGCATACGAAATACATAATAATCTAATGCATAAATGCACATGGTTGAAGGAATTATTATTATTTTTAACATGGTGTAAATAAATGGGAAACTCATAGAAGCTAGTTGCGTTGAATCATTCTAAAGGGTCAATGGTTCACTCTGTAAAATCATTTGTAAAAACTGTAAGACTATAATGAGTTTTGTCTTTTTGCTTTGCTTATGTGAAAATTTACTTATTGAATTTCTGTTTCCAAAATGGACACTTTGTTACTAAAATGGGAAATTACAAACATTTTAAAATTTAAGAGCCAAGCTTATAAATTCACGTAAGTCTTCACATAATGAAACGAATAACATACTCTTCCCACCCTGGTTTTATTGTTTTACTCTTTTTGTGCCCTGTAATTTTTTCTCTATACATTGGGAAGAGGTTAGCTGGTGATGGCCACAATCATTAGTCAAGTCTGTTTATGAATTTGCCTAGCATTTCAAACCATATTTTTTGCTTATAGAATTCTCCAAAAAACATATTTACTGCTTTTGCAGTCAGGCTACAATTCATTTTTGTAGATATATCAAATGTTGTTATGTTACATAGAGTGATGTGATTGGACACATTTAGTCCTTGCAGCCTCTCTCCCTCCCCCAAATAGGAAAAAGTTATGCTGAAAGTCTTTTAAAAGAGCTCTTGACTATAAACTTCAAAAAATGTCATGTATGTGAGTTTGTATAATAACATTAACAGAAATATGAATCTTAACCAAATGAGCTTTCCTTACATCCTCAAACCCAGTAGGGTAACTTGAAATTTGCAAGGGCAAAAGGCACATAATTTTACCTCCTACAGATAATAGGAGTTCTGTTCCATCTTCCTAAGTGGGTTTTGCTGTGGATTTCCATCACTGGAATCACTTAAGTGTCTACAGCGTCATAAATCACCATCTTCATCAGCTTGCCCACATGCATTTGCTGTGTCTTGTAAATGAGCTGCTTGACAACTTAATTTGGAGAAGGAATCTTCATTCCCTCTTCTTAATGCCTACAGCAGGACTCCCCAGGGTGAGGATGCCTCCTTGCAGGGGAGCCAGCTAAGGAGTGGAAGCGGCTTATTAATGAACCACCACCAGTCCTGCATCCTGACTAGCAGTGCCTACATGTTCACCATCGTCCCTGTCCCTCCATATTCTTCAGGAATACTGATTTCGCCTTGGATTACATATCAGGTTGCAAAGGACACTAAGTTGTAGAAAATCAGCAATGCTTCGCAATGTGCATCTCCTAGCTATTTTACATCTATTGAATCCTACTTTATTAATTTAAAAACACATGTGCCCATCTCGTTTGCTTCCAAGTGCCCTAGCACATAGGACATATAATTATTCCCTTGACTTTACACTAAAAAACTGATCATTTACTGTGATTCTGGGATTATCATTATTATACACCTGACTTAAGCATATCATAGTAAAAAAGATGATCTAAAATATAGCTCAGTTAAGTAACACTTGGCAAATTTTCCTTACTAAAATACCTCACTTGCAATATTTTTACATGGGTCTCTTTAAAGATTTTAGCCAGCTTTAAGAGTGTACTATTCTATGAAATGTTTGTCTTTGAAATGCTATTTTTAAATAATCACATAACTCTAGATCATAAACAGTATATTTCCAGAAAGTAGTCTATCACTGAAAAGCAAATTTAGGACGTGAAAACCTGTCTTCTTTTTATATTTTCAGCACCATGTCAGGATACCATATTCTGGAATTGTAAACTGTCAATGGAAAGAACAATTATATTACTCATAAAAATGATCTATTCTTTTGGGAACCGGGTGTAGATATTTCCTTTTTCATTCCACAAAATATCTATTGTTTCCTAGGGGCCAGATCGTGTGCTTACAGAGGATGATAGAAAAATGAAGACACACTCAGTGTGAATCAAGAACTCTGTCCTTGTTAAAATCAGCCTGGAGGGTATTAAGTTAAATGGATGGTGAGGGGTAGACTGGAGAGGGTGTGGGAGGAAACTTTGAGTACCTAAGTGCTGAGGTGAAGAACGTGGTTTACATTTTTCACATATGAAGAGGAGAATGTTATTCTGGCACTGACATGGAATACTGAACATTAGTTGATATCTAATTAAGAGCTCTTGTGTTACCTCCCATCCCTTGCTGAACACGGTGGGATCTTTAGCCAACTAATGGATGACTAGGGCTCCTGAACCAGCCTTGGAAGTACTACAGTGTATGGGGTAGACTCAGGGAATGCTCATTGCTTTTAACACAGGACAGTCTTGAATTGCCCATTTTATACCTCATGATCTCTTCTTTCCTTCTAGGTGGTGAGTTCCTTGGAATGACAGAGTCATGTGAGAAGTAGTCAAATCCTTAGAAACAGACATGTAGCAAAGATCAAATGAGACAGCAGTTGATGTCTGTCTTCATCAGACCCATCAGGGAACCATGCCTAGCACTTTGGTGTTTGTACATGATATTAACTAAATGAATAAAGATCTTACTTAAGAAAAAACCAAAGGAGAACTATGAGCCCAGAAGGCATGGGTAGAATCATGACTTCTGTATGTATTATATTTCTGCAACTTTGCACACATGTATTTGTGCACATGTGAGTATGTGAGTATGAATAACATTTATAATTAAAATTTACCACTATCATAGCCTTCTCTATATTTTGAGCCATTCTGAAAACTTGCTCTCAATAGAAGAGATGGTGGACCCAGTGTCTTTGCTTGGGTATAGAGTTTCACTTACACTTCTCTCTCTCAATTATTTTGCCTGTGTTTTGCAATTATTTTTTTGTATTCAATCTTCAGAATTTATTTCACCAGAAGGTAGAAATTACATCTGGTCTCCCAGACAGACAGAGATTGAGAATTGTTGAGAGTAATTAGACCAGCTGGAGCCATAAATCCAGTAGAAAGTTATGATCAGTGGATCATGGCCTAATCTTCTCTTCACCCATCACATCTGAATTACCTTGGCACAAAAACATGACAAGGGGCTGGAGTTTTAAAGGAAATTGCCACATCTCCCCAGTCATTAGCAGGCAAAAGGCATGCGTGCGTCAGATTGTGTTAATTAGGGAAGACTTATTCTCCCCAAAGACCTATTACTTTTTTCATACTTTTTTTAAATGTCTCAAAATATACTGCACCAAACAGTGGATGTCATATGATTTTTTATTTACGGTTCTCAATAAATTTCTGAGTTTGTTTGTTAGAAAAAAAATTATTTGTTAAAATAAATTTTGTCTCTTTATCTTAATGGAGAACTGAAGTGATCCTAAATTTATTTTATTATATTTTCTTCCAGAATTCCAGAAACATTCGTTTCAGGGGGAAAAAATATCCCCAATAGATGGTGCTGCTGCTGTGATTTAAGCCATTGCATAATTAGTATGCAAAAAAGTTCCAGGGAGAGGCCTCTGGGAATTCCCTTACATCAAGTTATAGAAAGACAAAAATGTGGCTTTATTTTTGCTAAATGCAAATTGATGTAATTGTGTAATTTGAAAACTTCAGAAAGATTTTGTGATGTTTTGAGCTTAAGAATTTACTTCTCTCCATTGTTCATGTCTCAAATATCTTTGAAATACAAATGCAAACAAAATTAACTGTTATGAAAGGATGAGATGATTGGCCTTCCAGGTTTTTCTCCCATAATGCTCATGGGTCTCTTAAAGTTATAAGGTGAAAATGAGAGTGTACACTGTATGGGTTCCTTCCTTTATATTTAGGAGAGATGTCTGGATGTGAGAAGTGTGTTGGAAGAATGATGTTGCTTCCAAATGCTGATAGTGAACACTTAATATGGCCAAAGAACTGAGTGGTCTGCTGTGATCTGTCCCTACAACCATTAGGACATTACTACCAGCAGATACTTTAAATGCTATGATCAAGGTCTCAGCACAAACATGTTGCAGAGATGCAATTTGAATTGTGCACTCTCCTACTTCAGAACCCTTTTTTTTTAAAAAAAAAAAAAAACTATTGTTTGTATGGCATCTCAGTATGAACAGTACAGTGTGAAAAGGCATTTTGTCAAATAAGAAAGCTACATTCTGTCAGTAATCCCATACCTGCATCACATTTATCTCAATAAAGCACATTGTTTTTTAAAAAAAGCACAATTTTACAGGCTGCAAATATAATAACTGCTTTATTATAATTGTAATAGAAAAATTGCAATATCTTAATATAATATAAATTTACCAAAATTCTCATATCAGAAACACTGAAGTTTGGGCTCTCACTGGTTAGTCGTCATCCCCATGCACACACACATACACACACACAAAAAAATGGAAACATTTTTTCCTTTATCTCTCTTGCCAGAATTCTTTGCAAAGACAAACTCAAAATTACTCAGGCATGTAAATAAAAAGTTTATTTTCTCAACGATGTTGCATGTTTTATAAGTCCACATATCACTCTCTGTTTAGGAGTCTAGAGCAAAGGCTAAGAAATCAAGTGCATTAAGCAAATGAGGTGTACCTGAGGTGAGCAACATGCCTCTTTAAACTTGCCTGATTGGAGAAGTCTCCCTCAGAACTAGGAATCAGAAAGTTCCTGAAATGATTGCATGCCTTGCCCTAAAGCATACTAGCAAATTTAAACTAACTAAATTAAACCAAGGGGAGATTCTAAAGATGGAGAGTGGCATTCAGTTGTAGCCTACCTGTACACCAGAGGAAAACAAAGTTTCAAAGTGAGGTGTTAAAAAGGCTACACAAAGGATATCGCCAAACTTTTTTTGAAGTTAATTTGTCTTTTTTTTTTTTTTACCTCCATGACTCTTTTTGTAGCACATTCACAATCCTAAAGATTGTGGATGTATAAAACGGCTTATAATAGGAACTGTTACATCTAAACTCTCTACCAAGCCTTTTCATATAATTCATGTGTTCATGATACTTTAAAAACAATATAGGTTTTTTAAAAAAAAATTTTTTTGGTAGTTGTAGATGGACAGAATACCTTTATTTTATATGTTAATTTTTATGTGGTGCTGAGGATCAAACCCAGTGCTTCACACATGCTATACAAGTGCTTTGCCACTGAACTACAGCCCTAGCCCAAAAACAATATAGTTTTTTTTTTTTAACTTGTTTAAGGTACTTATGAAAAGAAATGGTATCATGTTTCAATCCTAAAAGGTAAAGCAAACAATTGCCATTAATATTTTAATTTAACTATAATAAGAGCTTTGATCTTGGAGGGTAAGTAAACTCCTGTTTGTATAACTGAATTGTCTAGGTTCTTCACTCTTCGAGCAAGTAGTAAGCATAAAAAGGACCCCTCCCTTGGTACAGCTGACAGGGAGATCTGATAAATGTGCAGCAACTACATACAGGGATGTTTTATTTTTCAGTGAGTTAAGATTTAAGTAAAATCCAAAATGAATGTAAATTTAAATTTAGATTTTGTTCATTTAATTGCTTTTCATAAAAATATTGATATTTTCTGTAGATAACTCAGGACAGATTGGTTCAAATCAAATGCTATCAAGTTGAGCCTATTGGCCCGTAAGATAATCAATATCACTTTGTAGGGGTGTTACCTGAACATGGGGCCACAGTCTGTGGATCCTATTTGGAACTGTGGAAGTTTATGTTGAGGGCAACTCTGGTGGTTTCCCCTTCAGTTGGAAAACATCTGAGAGTTCTTGTGACACAGTGTCAAGCTCCACATCTTCTCAGGCTCCAGCCACAGAGGGGCTGGGTCAGGGTGCAGCAGGTCCTCTGGCATTTCCCTTAGGAACATTCCCAGAAAGTGCATCATATCCCTGACATACAGGCTTTAACTTCAAAAGCACATATGCTTTTGGAGAAGAATTACGATGAATAAATGAATAAAATAACACTTTGTAATTAGAAATAAGTGTAGGGAAAATAGATGATGATATGAATATCAAAATATATACATGAATAGACTAGGTTAGGTAGACAGGTGGATACAGAGGTGCATGCATGGATAGGTACATGGATACTGTAAGTGGATGGTGGTTTGGGAATAACAAAGACTCTTTCCCTGACCTAATCTAAGCAGGGCCTTTGAGCCCTCTTTGTAGTAAGCCTTGTTCTTAATTTTGCCCACCCTGCTTGTTTAATAGCAAGAATCCTATTAAAGTGTAACATTTAACATTTTAGGAGAGATGAGTCTAACTCGCCATCCAACCCAGTGCTCAGGAGGAGGAGGGTTATCTGCTCTTCTGATTGTGGATGGAATTATCACATTCAATCATGGAATCCTGTGAAAGAATTACATTCAAAGGCTGCAGAGATAGATAAGTGCCTATATAATAAATATTCTTAAAAATCCCAGAAATATAGTAACTAACCCAAATGTTTTCCACTTTCACATGACTTGAGTAAATCTTTGACTAATAAGACTATTTTGTTATTACTGATTTATTAAAAACCACTATGTTTTCTGGGGTATCAGAATTAAGTATAATGTGAGCATTCATTTTTATTCTGCTTTATCTTACTAATTAAATGAGGTAAAACCGGATGTTTTAGAGTATAAATGTTATAAATTCAACCTATGAACAAATGTACAAGTAAAAATGAAATACAGGGGGCTGAAGTTGTGGCTCAGCAGTAGAGCACTCGCCTAGCACATATGAGGCCCTGGGTTCAATCCTTGGCACCACATAAAGATGAATACAGTGAAAGTATTGTGAGCAACTACTACTAAAAATAAATATTAAAAATTACTTTGAAAAAGAGATGAAATACAAATGAATGACTTCATTCATATCAACCACAGCAGGAAAACAAAACACTCAGATGTTAAGCTATTTTAGAGTTTTTGCTTTTATGGAAGTTGTCTGATAAGCAGGTGCTATAAAATATAGTTAAAGGGTTGATAACTCTAAACAATGGTTGTCTTTGCTTAGTGTTATAATTGTCTAAAAATAGTTCCTAGAATCTTCCCAGTAATTTTCAACCTTTGAGTTATGTGAAGTTAAGCAACAGGTTTTCATTAATCAAAAAGATAAATTACTGTAACATGAATCCTAAATATAATTTTTAAAATTGTATCTTCTTCTTTGATGTGGTAAAAGAGGCAAAATAAATTTGAGTCTTAAAAAGTTGTTTTTTCTTCCCCATGGAAGCCTCATACTCAGGAAGCCCACACCTGTATTGCAGGTCTACCAAGCTGACCAGTGAACTATCAAATCCTGGTGTCTGCACAAAAATGCAAACTTGCCTGCCTCCTACTTTTCTCTGTGGGAAAAAGAAAAAAAAAACAAAGTCATTAATAGGTTACGTTTATAATCAAGATATGAAAATAAAATTTTAAAACTTAATCAGAGTAAAGGAAAATAACATTGTTAGAAATGTGGGATATATGATTTTAAAGGACAAAAGTAATTGTGTCCTTCTTAGAAAGAAGAAAACATAGAAGAACAACTGAACGGATATAAAAAGTTGTAGACAGTTTGCAGAAAAAAAGAATTTTGGAAAAAAGAATCTTATCATTTGTTGAAAACTGGCTAAGATTGGATGGAGTTATTTATAAAAATTTTCTTCTGTTTTTAATGTTTAGTATTGATAGCACATCAATGCTGAATGTAGAATGTGGATTTCTCTTTATTAAAACATCTGGGTTCTTTAAGACTATTGGTCTTCTCTTAATAAGAAATTATACAAGAGTCCTCTTTACCTTTTAAGTGTCTACTTACAAAATGTAGCATCTTATAAAAAAAAAAATTCCCTCTGCTTTACATGTGCTTAATATTGTGCTCTTGATTTTAAGAGAAACAGGTCTTCTTATTTAAGAAAAGAACTATATTTTTGTGAGATCTACATTTAATTTTGAATTATTTCATTGTCATCTCAGTTAAAAGAGAAGCTAAATATTGGTTCACAGTAACCTAAGATCTTATTTAATCAAACCTTGTAATATTTTTGACATTTTCCCTTATTAGAATCAAATCTCACATGAATTCTTCATAATGTTGATCTGACTTTCCAAGAAGCTCCCTGGAAAGTCCAAAGCACCTTTAACTATGACCATTTAAAAATCTTTTCACTTCCACAGATAGTTTTTGTTTCATTCTAATTCTTCTCCAAGAGCATGGATCCAGATAGATCCATTAAACTACTAACACAAGGTCAAGCATATCACAAATTAAGTACACGAGACTGAAGGAGCTCATCAAGAGTGATTATGACTTTTTGGAGTATTAGTGGATGTTCAGTGATCTAGTTTCCGTGCACAACAAACTGCTTTTGCTTTTCTCTTAAATTATAGTTCATAAAAACCTTGTAGATTACACTTTTGTAAACAGAAGTGAAACACTTTTTTCCCCCTTCTTCCTGCCTAATCCCTCTAGCTTCTGGAAACTCTCACGGAGACTCCACTTACACACTTCACTAAGGAACTGTCCTTGTCATAGCACATAACTGGAAACTTACATAACCAAGCCTTCCACTGGTGTGTCATGCTTGAGAATGATGTACGAGAATGAGATATGACCAATTTTATGAAACTGAGACTGACTTTCTTGGAGGCAATTCTTGCAAACTTGGGAAAAACAGCCTGGCACCCAGCTTGCAGCATCCCCAGCCTTTGAGGTGAGTACAGAAAGTCATTTCTCGGTGGCTCCAGAAGCTCATGATGATTTGAGTCCTTGAGAAGGGAGGAATTCACTCAAATCTATAAGTACTGAAGTTGAACACCCTTGGGATTTTTGGCTTGTTTCCTAAGCTTCAGGAGACTTTTAAAAGTCT